TTGGAGGTCTTAGAATCAAGAATGAGATCAAGGATACTAATTGCAAAAACCTGTTGGTAAACAAAACTGTTATACGCAGTAGTACACGAAATGTGCACGAGCGAGGAGAAACTACAAACGCATTCTGAGAATTCAGGAGAAACTTTATGGACGCAAATATTGTTGCTAAACTTTTTGGGCATTGCAAGAAACATTATACTCACAATTTCATCTGGACTTAATATTCCGAATTGCACTCTTTTCACTGTCCTTAACGGAGCTTTACTGTCGAGGGTCGCCATCTTGGCTACCGTCACAGCACTGACCTGTCTGCCGCTGCCCCGCGCTAACGGCTGCAGCTAACGGCGGCACCAACAAACCAGCCAGTCGATCGCAGCTACAGGTTTACCAACATTCAAATATTAAATAACTATAGTTTTCCAAGAATAGCTCCTGTTTTTAGTGATATCATGAGAATTGCAATTGATTGTAATATGATGTAACATGTTTTCTTTGAATGTCCCACCAATGCAGAAGCTACATAACAACTAATCACAGAACTCAACACAGTAAAAGTGGAATTGAGTGGAATTTAAAACCATAAGACGGGTACAAAGTTTTTTATATTTATTATTTTTCTTATTTATACAAGTAATCTGTTTATTATATATTTAATTTGTATACTTGCTGTATTAATTATCTATTCATTTATTGTAACTTGTCATTATTATCGATTGAATTATGTGCTTAAATGTATAGAAGTGAATTCACATAGTGGTATAATAGTAATATAACTCTAAATTATAAGTTATATGACCCATATGACTCGTCTGGTACTTTAATATGATGATAATATGATGCAATATTGTTGTATCAAATAGCAAAGCAAAGAAATACGATTAATATTTAATTATCAACTATTTTGGAAATCATAAAAAACAATTTAATTCTATCCCGAAAGTATCATATAGAAAAAATATAACTAGATTATAGCAGGCTGGCTTATTATATTATCACTGGCTTATTATATAAATGTAACAGTACCTATATTTCTAGGATTGACAATAATTCATAAAATTTTGAATATGCAATGATTGAATATGTGGTGTAAGATAAGTTGCATACTTAAATCACGTTCTGAGTTGGAAAAAAGATGAAATGCCAAAAATATCCTGCAGAATTTCGATACTACAGTTTTAATAGAATTAGTTTGAAAGTTTTAATTTTACACTTTAAATGTTTAAAATTCTGCCGTTGATCGCACTTGACCACTCCCGCCCGGCGCCATGTTGCAACTCGTACCTAACCTAACCTAACCTAACCTAACCTAACCTAACCTAACCTAACCTAACCT